CTATGAAGACTAAAGAAACTTGAAGCACTCCTATCTACCCTTTCCATGGAATACTAAGTCTCTTAGGATTTGATCTCTGCCAGTTTCATGTTTCTTTTTTGTGTGTGTCATAGACTATTCCAATGAACTCTTGACAGGCTCCAGGACACTCCCTTTAACACTCCACTTGGGGTTTGCTTATTTACCTGTAGTTTCTTTTCTTCTGAGGAGAAGAATTGGTCACTGATGTCTCTGGAGGATCCCCTGGAGAAGCTCTCCGATATCTCAAATTATGGACTAGTCCACAAGATGTGTGGCAACATCGGCTTTATGCTTAGCTTCTTAAAAGGGAAAAATGTTGGGTAGAGCTAGACCAGGCTGACCAGTCTTCTGGTTTCCCTGTGGCAGGTACAAATACTAGTTGTGATTGCTGGCAGAGGAGTGGTAGATGCTATAGGATTTCCTTGGTTGTATACAGCCGTAGTGGGTGGCTTTCTCAATTGCCAGCTGTGGCAGTGCTGTGCTGGGTACATGCATAGGCTCAAGGTCTTCTGAGTAGCAGAGGTCATATAGATAATGGTGTTAACTGAGACCTGGCAGCAGAACTTCCCAAGCACTGTGTTATTGTGTTAGTAGATGTTGTAATGGGCTGTACCAGTTGACTTCTGACCAGGAGATGGTGCTTGAAGAAAAGAGCTTGCTGCAGTGGACTGTGGGCTTTCTGTTTGTCCTGTGTTACGCCAAGGAAGTGCTCAGATGTTTCAGGTGATGTGCGGGAATATGAGACTTCCAAAATTCCCTGCCTGTATTTGTCTTTCAAGTCAGGTGGAGAGGAAAAGCCAGTTGGGAGGGCGACTGTGTCAAAAAGGTGCGCAAGTGGTGCCCTTAGTAAGAATTGGAAGGGAGACCTTGGTCACTGGGCTAATGTTCCAGGGATGATCACAGCAGCCTCTGTCACTCAATACAGAGTTCAGGTGGGGAGGGAGGCAACGCCAGTGGCAGTAAGACCCACCTAACTCCCATGCCTTTGACATAGGTAGTCTGTGCTCAGAATGCAAAACTGCACCAAGCCATAAGTCCTTCCACCACAATCTGGCCTAGACAGAAACTGCCATAGCAGCTGCAAAATTTGCCCCTGGAGCAAATGAAAGTGCACAGTCTTCTCAATGTTTCCTTGACCTAGCAGCAGGCAGCAGGATATAACCCACTGGGGTTGGGATCATGTAATAGCATGACTGAAGCCACTCGGGGCTTGAATGTCTGCAAAGCTTCATGTAGTTACTGGCAGCACACTGCCAAGCATTATTTAGGCAGTTTCTGTGAGGATTTAGGGGCTGTTAAAATCCATGGCAGGAGTGCAGAAACCCAGGGTTCCCTCACTCACCCTTTCCCCAAATCTGGAAGCTACTTGTGGTCTGTGTCAGTGATGTGGTCAAAGAGGCTGCCTGGCTCCATCCTAGGCCTTCCAATTTCTGACTTTTTTGCTCACCGTGGGTCCTATCACTTCTCTGGTGAGTTCTGGGTTGTGTCCTTAGTTGTTCTGCTTTGAGTACTTAGCTTCTTTCCTTATTTTGGTTGCTCTCTGTGAAACAGATGAATGCATACTAGCTGCTTCTAGTCGGCCATCTTGAACTTCTCTCCAAGGTTAATTTGATTGAACAAAATTTTCTTTTGCATTACTAATTGGGGTACAATTATTTGAGTTTTTTCAGGAATTAACATTGAATGACATATGCAAAAAGAATTCCTTTTGCATATAAGTTTGTTGCACTAGCACTGGCTTTGTAGAGCTGAATTATAGCATTAGAGTGGCTATTGCCTTAAGGGAATCCTATACTTAAGCAAGTTATTTCTTATTAGTAAAAGAACAAAGTAGAATAAATTAGAAATATACAACATTCTACCATTAAAGTGGAAAAAATGCTACCAAAGTATAAAAACAAAAAAATGCAAAAGAGAATATGGCAATAAGTCATTTAAATAATCCAGAGAATTACATTTACTAGTCTTGGATGGACTGTCTATGCAATTATGTTTGTTTCAAGGATCTTGGGCCAGCACTCATCTTCTGTGGATGGTCCACTTCTGAAAGATTCTCAAGAACCCAAGTTTAACATCTTTAACGTAAATAACTATTTACTCCCTGTCATTTAAATACCATACCATACTAGTTGGTAAACACGTAACCAAGGATCAATTAATTATACTTTATCAGCTATATTAAGTAGTAAGTAGTACCTAATAAGATCAATTCTACAAGGGTCAAAGGCAATCTTCAGCTGGAATTTTTTCAGAATACCAAGTCAACCATGTTTGGGTCATTTGAAGACTGGTTAAATGAAAGGCCAGGAAAGAAAACTTGCACCTGTTGTTGAAAGGACTGAGTAACTTTTTTTATTTTTATTTTTAAATCTTATTAAGTTTGTGAAAGAAAAGAACATATGTGTTTCAGGACATTGTGAGTAATATGAGCCTACTAGTGACCAGTTCATAGAAAGACAACACATGACTTTATGAGGGAGGAAAATGCAGGGCTATGAGATCTAAGGATAATAATAATTATGTCATGAGAGCTCAAGAAGGCCTAATACAGTAGTTAATTTTAATTTGAATATTTCATTTGTTGTTTCCACATTTTTAGAAGAAAAGGAGGTGTCAACAAAAGTGAGGTTTCTGAGTGAGGAAAAAATATTACAGGACTGTTCCAGAAAGAATGTGTTTCTTATATATAGATCATTGGAAATGTCACAAATAGGAAACACAAAATTAAATAGGTTTTTTGCCATTGTGAGTGCTATATTTTATAATACTTACAGGAGAGTACTTCAACCCATGTAGAAAAAAAATACTACTGCTAATAAATACTCATAACCGACATGGAAAATAATGTGCAAAATCTTTTGGGAAATACTTTTAAAAATGTTCCTTTAGACAGTGATTTAGTTCATAGCCTACCTGTGCAGTTTTTATGGGATTTTGCTGGTTTCAAGAAAGGCACAAACTGGACATACTCCCATCTAGCCTAGAAAAATTTTCCCATAAATGTTTGTTTAATATGGCAGTCAGTATGTCCCTACTGTGATCAGTTGTCTCTGGGGGATTTTAGCAAGTGTTCATTAGGTATAATTTGGTCCCAACAGGTAGCTTTTCTAGCTTTGGCATGTGCTATCCTTATTGGTTAAACAACTCAATCATTTTTTGTGTTTTTTAAATAAAATTGAGAGCCAAATTTTCTGCATAGAAAAAATTCTTCAATAGAATTATTATAGAAATTCTCTAGTAGATTATTGACATGAATTTGTCTTTATGTTCTAAAAGAGATCCTTCCATAAGGATTTTAGTCAGAAAGGCAAGTTTAGTATGTTAAGTAACATCACTAGCACATGGCCTTTAATATTCACACACATGGAAGCTGCCATGACCTTGGAGAAGAGCCTGAACCAAGCCCTTTTGAACCTTCATGCCCTGGGATCCACAGTTCCCCATCTCTATGACTTCCTGAAGAACCACTTCCTAGATGAGGAAGTGAAACTCATCAAGAAGATGGGCGACCACCTGACCAAACTTCACAGGGTAGCCAGGCCCGAGCCTGGTCTGGGCGAGTATCTCTTCCAAAGACACCCTCAAGCTCTACTAGAAGCCCAGCGGCCTCTGAGAGACCCCTCTCAAAGTATCAGGGCTTCTTCTGCCTGAGCCGCCCCCTCCCACCACTATGCAGCTTTTTAACCACCCTGGAGCCCTCTCCCAAGCCTGGACCAAATGAAAATAAAGCTTTTTGCTATGATCAGCTGTCCAGGGAAGGTGTATGGTGTAACCTAGAATACATTCTTTTCAGATCTGGGCAGGCACAATACAGTGGCACTCTGTGGCTTGTTTGGGGTCTTAATTGAGGTAATCAAAGCATAAATTCAAGGATTTTATAGCCTAATGACCAATCTCTAGTGTCTAATCTGGCCTGTATAAACAAAGATGAGCTGTTAAAACTCAATAGAAACGATAAGGAGACCTTTATGACGGGACTCAGTGTTTTGAGGCTTCATTCTAAATTCTTCAGTTAAAAAGAGAATTTTTTTTTCCTGCTGATTAACTCTAAGATAGGCAACTGGAAAGACATTGAAAATGAGGAAGAATATCATTATATCAACATACAGGTGGACATATCTGCAGTGGTTAGCTCAAACAGGTTTGTCTTCTTGTCATAAAGAAACAACATCCATAGCTGTAAGGACACATGATTATTATATCTTGCATTGTCTCCATAATCTACACGTAGTATTTTTCTTTGTAAAATTTCTTAAAATAAAACATTTAATTAAGGGTCCATAATAGTTGTGTATACATGTAGAATTTTTTTGTTTGTTTGTTTTGAGTTGGAGTCTCACTCTGTCACCCAGACTGGAGTGCAGTGGCTGCTCCCAGCCACCGCAGCCTCGACCTGCTGGGCTTCGGGGATCCTTCCGCTTCAGCCTTCCAAGTAGCTGGAACCACAGGCGCACGCTACCACACCCGGCTAATTTTTGATTTATTGTAGAGATGAGGCCTCGCCAAGTTGCCCAGGTGGGTCTTGAACCCGTGGGCTCAGGCAATCCACTCACCTCAGCCTCCCAAGGCGCGGGATTACAGGCTGAGCCACCGAGCCTGGCCATGTAGAGTTTTAAAATAAGTGTCAACTTCCCAGTTCCATCAGAGATACAATGACGGAACATAGCAGCTGGTCGAATTATCTACTTTCCTTTCCATACACCTGTGTTTATTTTCAGATTTAATTGTTTTCACATTCCCAGTTGTTTAATCCAAAAGGAAGTTTGTGTTGGGTGAGATTCATAGCCAATACGAGGAGAAGTCTGACATGAGATGCACCAACTGACTTCACCAGGAAGCCTCTATTTCCTGTTCTAGGGCAGTAGCAGCAGCACATAACCCAGTAATTCTTCTCTCACCCTGTAAGACTCACCTCACAGAGAAGACCCTTGAAACTGAAAAAGAATAAGATATTTTCCATCAAGAGGTAGCTCTCAAACATGTTGCTCTACGGTTTACTGAAGATGGTTACAGTTTCACTGTGGCTCGGTAGAGTTAACCCAGTGGGAATGGTCTTCCTCTATGACCTGTGGGCTGGGGATGCAGAAAAGTGTCTTCTGGAGACATTGGGAAGGAGGAGCAGCAGGGTATAAAAATTCATTTTCTTTGTTCCACATTACTGATCCCCAAGCTTTCTATCTTTTTTTTCCTTCAGGATCTGGCATAGGTCAGAAGGTAACTCAAGCTCAGCCAGCAATGTTGGTGCAGGAGAAGGAGACTTTGACTCTGGACTGTACATATGACACCCGTGCTGGAGATTATGGTCTATTCTGGTACAAGCAGCCTAGCAGTGGGGAGATAATTTTGCTTATTCATCAGGATTCTTATAACCAACAAAATGCAACAGAAAGTCGCTATTCATTGAATTTCCAGAGGGCAAGCAAATCCATCAGCCTTGTCATCTCAGCTTCACAATTGCGGGACACAGCAATGTATTTCTGTGCACTGAGAGAGGCCACAGTGAGAGATTTGCTGGAGGGAGATGTACAAAAATCCCAGGGATCTGCTTGACACATTCACCTGATGTAGATACCAGTGTAGGTATCTATCACAGATAGGAAGTGGCTAGACCTGTGGTAGCACAAATATATTGTTGGTGGGAAAACACTCAAATAAAATACCTCTCTAAATTCATAGACCATGACCAGAGTTGTCATTTCTGTAAAACATTCTTATCCCTGGATGTTTGGTGTGAGGTTAGACATATAGAATTTTTGGCTTGGGATTAAAGAGAAAGAAGAGTCACAATGAACAAGTTGCCTCTTAGTCATTATATTGAGTTAGAAGAATTAGCTAAGGAAGTTCAGAAGTGTCTGACTGAAATATTAGTAAAAATCTGTGTGAATTGTTAGATTTTCAGATTAATTTAACCAATAAATATTTATTGAGTACATATTATGTGACAGGCATTTTCTTAAATAAGGAAGGCCTTGACAACTCTCTGCATACTTTATTTTTTAAAAAAATGTCTAATGAAGTAGTATGATTTTTTTTTTTGTGATGAGTTAATGGTACTCACATTTTATTTCTAAAGGAGCCTAGTGTGTGACAAAAATCTGTGCTGAGCTTATTTCATCTTAGTAACACTCCTAGCACGAAGCAGTTCAATTTCTTTTCTTTCTTTTTTTGCTGCAAAAAGCTTTATTTTCATTTGATCCAGGCTTGGGAGAGGGCTCCAGGGTGGTTAAAAAGCTGCATAGTGGTGGGAGGGGGCGGCTCAGGCAGAAGAAGCCCTGATACTTTGAGAGGGGTCTCTCAGAGGCCGCTGGGCTTCTAGTAGAGCTTGAGGGTGTCTTTGGAAGAGATACTCGCCCAGACCAGGCTCGGGCCTGGCTACCCTGTGAAGTTTGGTCAGGTGGTCGCCCATCTTCTTGATGAGTTTCACTTCCTCATCTAGGAAGTGGTTCTTCAGGAAGTCATAGAGATGGGGAACTGTGGATCCCAGGGCATGAAGGTTCAAAAGGGCTTGGTTCAGGCTCTTCTCCAAGGTCATGGCAGCTTCCATGGCATCCAGGGTTTTACCCCACTCATCTTGAAAGGGCTTCTGGATATACTGGAAGAGGACGCCACTGCCACACTGGTTTTGCATCTTCAAGAGACGCTGGGTGTCCTCAGCTTTTCTTCCACCAATTCGCGGAAGAAGTGGCCCACGTCTTCCAGAGTCACATTGTCGCGGTCATGTTCGAAATAGTAGCCCAGAGAGAGGTAGGTGTAGAAAGCCCGCAGATGCAAATTGACCATGCGATTGACGGTTGCCTCCACCTTGGTGCAATAATTCTGGCGAACCTGGGAGCTCATGGTTGGTTGGCAAGAAGGAGCTAACTGCAGAAACGGTGGTTGCTATCCCAGAAACAGGAGGTGGCTGAGAAGGTGGTCTTGGAGGTTGCAAGTGCAGAGGAGATGGGAGGGCAGTGGGAGGCCGGAAGAAATGGAGCCCCCGGTTCTGTTTCATCCAGACACTGTTGAAGCAAGAGCTGATCTGCGGAACCTCCGAAGGCACTGCCAAAATAGCTCAATTTCATACTGTAAGTGTACCTTATAGCCCCATCACCAGACTTATTCATAATATGTTCAGTAACTACTGGCTTTTAGATGAAAGTGTGGGGAATCTATTCACAGATCCACAAATCTCTTCATGTGTGTGTAAAGAAGACATCATTTCCCAAAACGCATCATCATCTTCTTAATATATTAAATGCTCCCTTTCCAATAACATGTTCCTAATGCTTTGCTGAGTTCCACCAATCTATTCGTTTTATTGTATGCCAAACTCAGAAGGTAGTCTTAAGTAAATTTTCTTACTTGTTAGAGTAAACCACACTTTATGAGTGCTCTTTTTTTCAATAATTTTAAAGTAATTCTTAAACATTTATTTTTCAATATTTTGAGTATATGCTCAATTATTTTTCAATTCAGAGTGGTGTAAGGCCAGAATGAACTGTCTGGATCATATGGTAATTTTATTTTTACATTTTAAAGGAACTACCAAGCTGTTTTCCACAGTGGCTGCTACACCATTTTGCATTCTTACAATTAGTGCCCAAGATTTTCGGTTTCTCCACATTCTTATTAGCACTACCAACTTTTTGTTTTCTTTTTCTTTATTTTTATTTTCTTTCTTTCTTTATTTTTTTTGAGTTGGAGTCTCACTCTGTCGCCCAGACTGGAGTGCAGTGGCCACTCCCAGCCACCGCAGCCTCGACTTGCTGGACTCCGGCAATCCTTCCGCCTCAGCCTTCCAAGTAGCTGGAACTACAGGCACACGCTACCATGCCCGGCTAATTTTTTGATTTATTGTAGAGACGAGGTCTTGCCTGCCCAGGCGGGTCTCGAACCTCGCGGGCTCAGGCAATCCACTCACCTCAGCTGTTTTCTTTTAAAAAAAAGTATTCACCCATCCTAATGGGTGTGATTTCTTGTGGTTTGGATTGACATTTTTCTATTAATTAGTGAGATTGAACATCTGTTCATGTGTTTACTGGTCATTTGTATATCTTCTTTGGAGAAATGCCTATTCAAGTTCTTTGCCCATTTTTAAACTGGGGTTTTTTTTTTTTTGTAAAATTTAAGACTTTATATATTCTAGATATTATTCCCTTATCAGATATATAATTAGCAAATATTTCCCCCCATTCCATGGGTTGTCTTTTCACCTTGTTGAATGCACTTTTTTGATGCACAGAAATTTTAAATTGGGATGTGGTTAAATTTTTTTTAATTTTTCTTTTGCTTCCTTTGCATGGTGTCATATCCAATAAATTATTGTCAAATTCAATGTCATGAGCTTTTCCTGTATGTTTTATTCTAAGAGTTTATAGTTTTGACTTTTACATTTAGGTTTATGATCTTTTGGTATTTTTGTATATGATGTAAGATAAGGGCCCAGTTTCACTCTTTTGCACCTGGTTCTCCAGTTTTCTCAGCACCATTTGCTGAAAAGATTTTTTTTTCACCATTGAATGGTCTTGGGATCCTTGTCCAAAATTATTGTCCATATATGGGAGAGTTCAGTTTTGAGTTTTCTATTATATTTCATTGGTAAGTGTGTCTAGTACCACATTGCTAGTACTACTAGTACCACGTTGTTTTATGCTAGTACCACTTTGTTTTGCTACATTACTGTAGTGTTGTAATCGGTTTTAAAATTAGAAAGTGTGAGACATTCCAACTTTGTTCTTCTTTTTCAAAATTATTTTGGCTATTCTGGGTACCTAAGATGTCATAAGAATTTTTGAATGAATTTTTGTATTACTGCAAAAACACCATTGAGATTGCATTGAATACCACTGAATCTGTAGATTACTTTGTTTAGGATTGACATTTTAATAATATTAACTGCTCCAATACATGGACACAGATGTCTTTATTTATGTCTTCTTTAATTTATTTTCAGCAATATTTTATAGTTTTCAGTGTATGTCTTTAACATTCTTATTTAAGTTTATACCTAAATATTTTTTGATGCTAATATAAACAAAATTTTTAAAATTTCTTTTTCAGATTGTCTCTTTTTAGTGTATAGAAATGAAATTGATTTTTGTGTACTGTTTTAGTGTCTTGCAAGTCCTTTGGATTTGTTTATTAGTTCTAAGGAAAAACATCTTTAATGGTGGAATTTTTGTTGCCACGGCGGTTGAGTGGGGAACAGGATATTTGTCCCACGCACCCCAAGTCAGATTATGTAGGACAGAAATATCAGACATACATAAAATATGAAATCCACAACTGAATCATTTATATTTAAAAAGAATTTTTCTAATTATTATCCTAGTTTAGGTTAAAGTTTGAAGTTAAGGACAATGCTCTTCTATAATAAATATTCTAACACTTAATTATGTGCTAAACAGGAAGAATAAATTTGTAGGATTTGTAGATTTGTAGGATTTGCAGGATACTAATTTTTAAAGGAATGTTTACCTAGTAATTGGAAATACTAAACCAGGATAAAATAAGGTCTGCTCTAGTTTCCATACTATAGAGATATAGAAGCATTTTTACCTTAGTTGAATCTAGCAAATGAAAGATCCAACACTTAAACTCATTTCATTTGATTCTAGTTGATAAATTGTCACCAACAAAAAAATAAGTCAATTGAGCATACAGTTGCAGAAATTATAAAATAAACAGTAAAATAAAAATAAATAAGAGTACATTGAAGGAAGTAGAGATAAAAGCAGAAATTGATGGGTCAACAGAAAATAATAAATGAATGCTAAAACCACAATCTGATATTTTGACAACTAGAATACTAACACAATTCAGGAAAATGTTGAGGAGGGACAAATACACGCACAAGAAATGAAATATGACATAATTAAGTTGAACTTTTTTCAAGAATAGAGGAATTATTTAATACTTAAAAATCTATTAATACAATTCTTGATTAACACATTTATTTTTATTTTTTTATTTTAAAGATGTAGGATACAATTTAGGGTTAGGTATACAAATATTCATTATGCAGGTAGACATTAACAAATTTTAAAAGACTCAAAAGTGTTCTTTAGCCTGCTTTGATGAATTGCATTCTTTGGATCTAGGATGGTTTACTGTACCTATATATTACATGTGCTCATCTCAATTTTGGCAGAGTTTTTTTTGTTGGTTTTATAGATATTTGGATTCTTTCTCTTAATTTGACTCAAATTATATGTAGCATGTATGTTCTAGTTCTTTAATCCCCTGTTGGATTTAGATTATTTCTGTGTGGATAAGGGAAAATGATGAATTCACTCAACCATATTTTGGCAGAGTTTTTTTTGTTGGTTTTACAGATATTTGGATTCTTTCTCTTAATTTGACTCAAATTATATGTAGCATGTATGTTCTAGTTCTTTAATCCCCTGTTGGATTTAGATTATTTCTGTGTGGATAAGGGAAAATGATGAATTCACTCAACCATATTTACACTGACACCTTGTCTGTCATATTACTGTTTGTATATTTCTTTTACTGTGAGTTTCTTCAAATTTTATTCTAGAAAAAGTGTTGGAAATGGTTCTAATATATGG